CTCCACGTAGAGAATCAGCCTTTTGCTCTGAAGTAACTATGGTTCACTATGAACGCACTTGGATTTTCAATATTAGTGTAAGTTACTATTAAGTGAAGAAAAGGAGCTGGAAAGAGGACATCAAAGTGATAACACTTGGAGCCTGAGAAAGAGGGAAAACTTGAAAGGGGGAAAGATGTAGGAAGGTCAAATGAGTGCCTCGAAGGCAAATTATACTTTACAATTCTGTTCTGCTAAAGCTCTGTGCTTAGTCAACTGGTGACCAGAAACAAAGAAATCCTCCGTCAACCAGGACCCAGATTCCACACCAGGACTTTGCAGTGGGCAACAACAGGATGTGACATCCAAGTGAGAATGTCCAGCTTAAACTGCCCATCAGGACCACCCCAGTCTCTGGGCCTGCTGGCAGGAAGTCCAAGTGCCTCAGTCTCTGAGATGCACCAACTCCTCAGTGGACAGCGTCAGCCAGATGAGAAAGCCAGATGTTTCCCTTAACTCCCTCCCTACCACTGGCTGGGACCAGCCATTTCACTTTAGAAATGGACCAGAGAGAAAATCTGAATTAGTAGCCAGGCGTGGTTGTACACATCTGTAACCCCAGCACTTGGGGAAGCAGAGGCAGGCGGATCTCTGTGAGTTCAAGGCCAGCATGGTCTACAAAGTGAGTCTAGAACAGCCAAAGCTACTCAGAGAACCCCTGTCTCAAACAAAAGAAAGAAAAAGATAAACTGAATAACGTGACCCCCAACTCATTTTACATCGTATTGTAAATTTAAGACAAGCAGAACATCTGTAGCAATGCAAAGACTGGTGCCTACTTATTCGTGTTTAAATGGACAGAATTATTACAAAAGCAAACAAAATCTTTATTTGCCAAATAGAATAGAAGAAGGAAAGTGGCCAGGATAGCAGCGTTTATTCTGCAGCACAACCCATGGACAGACTTCAATCTGGGAATCCCATTCACCAAGTGTCCTGCTGCCTGATGTCTTCACAAAAAGTCTGTAGCAATATGAGTGGTGAGCTTTAATGCACTACTGATTATTTTGTTCTTTGTACTGCAAAGTCCACAGAGAACCTTACCGCTTCATATAACATCAGTACATCCAGGCATGCCTGCAAAAAGGTTTCTCAGAAACCTTAGGCTCCTGACTCTAAGAGACAAGTTCTCAGCTCTGCATCAGCCATGGTTCTAAACACATGTTCAGCCTTTTGTAGGAAAACTATTTGCTGAACTAAAATAACATTCCTCACTTCAATAATCACAACTCTTTCTCTTCAGTGCTGGTGATGAAACCCAGGGCCTCCTGAGTCACAGCTCCAGCTCAGAAAGCTTTAGATAAGCCTCAAAAGAAAAGCTCAAGCTTTAGTAATTCAGGATCTGCCCAGCAAGCCCACATCCACCCTATTCGAGGATCTCCTTATTTTGCTGACTGTCTCCCCTAAGCCTTGAGCCATCAGGACCGAGACGTTCTTCATGGCTAGCCAAATGAGAAAGTCATAGCTCTTCATGCTCACAAGACACATCTGAGAAAGAAAAATCCCAGCCTTGGGCAACTTGGACATTTTCTCTTTTTGAAACTGAGTATGTGAAAAGTTTGTTAAATAGTCACAGAGCCTTGGTGACCAGATAATGCTGTTAGCTAACTCCCAGCTTAAAACAATGAGCTTGATCACAGAAGACACTGTCAGCCCCAGTTAAACATTAGCTCCTTCTGGACTCAGCAGTTTCTATAACCCTATCATTCTCTCCCAACCTTTTAATCAGATACTTCTCTTTAAGTCAGGATTTTCCAATCCATAGCATAACGGGCTTTGGAGTCAGGCAGATCTGGATTTGCATCTAGGTTACATTACTAATTATCTCTGAGGCCCAAATCCCACAACATTCTCCAGTGCATCAAACCTTAGTTTCCTTATATATAAAACAAAACTACTGTGGAAATGGGCTCAAACAGCAAGATGGCTCAGCAGGTAAAAGGGAGTTTACCTGCACAAACCTGAGGACTGAGTTCAATCCCTGCAACTCATGGTGAAAAAAACAGACCAAGAAGGGCTTTCTCACTGGGTCATGAGAAGGGAAAACAGCATAATTTTAGTGCAGCATTAGACAGATGTCTTTTAGTAGGACCCCAACATAAGTTGAGGGAACCCTTGAAAAATAAAATTATCTGGCTTCTATCCAAAAATGACTAAGATTTTTAAGATGGTGACAGTAGGATTGGAGAGAAGGCTCAGCCCAGAATGTGCTTGCCTGACAAGCCCAAGGACTGGATTCAGTCCTTAGAACTATAGTTAACAAAAAGACAAATAAAGAGAAACAAAACAGGCCTGCTGCATCAGGCTTGTAACAGCACTGGGAAGGTAGAGAAGGGTACATCTCTGGTGCTCATTGGCCACCCAGCCTAGACTATCTGACATGTTCCAGGCCAATGAGATAGACAGACAGACAGACAGAGACACACACACAGTGAGAGAGATGGTCAAAAGACGGTCATTCAGCCAAGAGTGGGGGCTTGGGAGACTGCACAGGGCACATGCACAGCAGAGGCCCTTCTTTGACTTACAGACTATGGCTATTATTATCTCTTAGCACTTTTCCCAAAGACAATATTTCCTCTACTCCCCAACCCCATGTTCTCCTCTCAATAACCTCAACTTAGAAAATGTACCTGGCTCATTCCAACACCAGGCACTAGCATCATGGAAGTAGCCTATATTGACCACGAAAAGGACTCACCAACACAGGGTAACCCAAAACAGAAGATAATGTTACAGACACAGTTCACGTCTGAGGTATTCCACCTCTGACGGCCAGCCCGTGTCTCTAGGCTGTTCCTGTTGCTAGGATAACACTCACCTTCTTCAGAGCCCTGAGACTCTGCTCATCAGTTCTTCCCTGGCCTCTGTCCTTGAGGTCTCTATCATGGAGTCTGCTTTCACTTCTTTCACGGTACTTTAAATGTCAAACACACAGTACTGCTTGTCTCTCTTTTATGCTCATCATTTGCTGTTTATTTTTTCCTACACATTTGCAAACCCATGCAAAACAGAGTTGTGTGAGTCCATCTATTTTTATTCATTATGTATCCCAAGTGCTTATAATAGTGTTTGGCACATGGAAGTTACTCAATAAATATAAGTGAAAGAATATCTTTGAGTGAAAACATAATAAAAACTGTCCATCATTTGCTACACCAGAGGATTCAGCCTTCTGCCATCATGGACAAATTGCACTAACAGCTCTGCGATATAGACATCTGAGTTAAAGCTCTAGCTGGGTAAAGTACCAATTTTCAAATCATTTCCAAATCTGCCCTAGGTCAAAGGCATACAATCCAGCTGTCTATGCTTCTTTCATTACTAATCCATATACACATACTGACTTGCAGCAATCATGAGTGGCATTTTGTATGTGTGAGCTGTTCAGAAAAGAGACACTTGTCTGGAGACCATAATAGTCCTTGAAAAACAGAGGATTATCAGAAAAATGACCCACATCCCTGCTTTACCACAATGACACAGACAACCTGAGGGGTTAATATCAAAAGGAATGCAAGGTCTTCAGCTCCGAAACTGAAGATGGTAGCTGGAGCCAAGCCAAACTTCTGCTGGTCCCAGGTAAGGAGTCATCTGGCAGCCCAGCCTGGGATCTCTCAGGATCCAGCAATGTGGCTGCCTGCACATTTTATGCCACCACTGGAGGATGATGGCCTGAACTGAGGCCTTATGGCCACTGGGTAAGACATTTTAGTGAGAGCTGTTGCTGTAGCTCATGTCAGTGGAAACATCTGGAGACCCCACAGTTAAAAACTAGCAATGGGCTAAAATGTTTAGGCTCTTTCTAGAGCCCACGAAGCTCCAACCCATCGAGGCTCCAACCCAAAGATTTCGTCGGGATGGACAGACAAAGGCCAGATGATCAGGATCGCACTCAACATCTGGCTAGTGCCCCAGAGTGAACCGCCACTCCCTCTCAACCCTGCACAAGGCTTCTTTTTTTAACCAGATCTTCTCAGTCACCACAAATGCTTTGGTGGTAAGCAGCAGGGAGGCCCCACGGCTTTTCCCAAAATACCAGCAGCAAAGGCTAAAGAGGTGGAGCCTTCGGCCTTTTGCAAAAGTTTCAAATATCCTGGTACTGACCCCATTAACAGAGTAAGACAGAAAAGCAGCCCAGCATGTTCTTACCTCCGAGCCCCCTCCCCTCCCCCTCCTAAGAGATCTCTAACAAAGCCATATTACCACCACTGCCTATCAGAAACAAGATTTTCTTTTGCAAAAAGCTAAAAGTGACATCTTTAAATGAGCCACGCTTGTGACAGCTGAGTCTCCAAAGAGGTCTCTGCGGGAAGGATATGGTGAGCCGTCTCACCTCTCCCCAAAGCCTCTCTGGAACACGCAGCTGCCTCAGATTTTCCGGACTTCTCGGGCGATCTTTCCCCTGAAAAGGGAGGAAGCAGCTTGTCGAGGCTGTGCAGCTGAAGCAGCCAAGTACAGCGGCCGCCATCCAATGTGGAGAAAGGAGGCTTTTCAACACGCACACGCAATTTTAAGATACAAACAAGAAAGTAAAGAAACCGGGGGAGAGAGGGAGGGAAGGAGGGAGAGAGACAGGATAAAAACAGATGGAAAAAATACTACATTAGCTTGTCCATTTTTTTTTTTTCAAACCTTACCACAAAAATCATTGTAACTGGGCGGAGGCATTACTCTCAAAACACATCCTCTTCCCAGCATTGCTGTACCGTTAGCAATAGGAAATGGTGCTACCGATAGGAAGATAATATAAACTGCTTTGGAATACAAAGGGTAACTACTCGGAAGAAAGTTAAAAGGCCCCAGCTGTGCATGCTCCTGTGTTCTTAGAGGAAAACTCCCATCCCCAGAGCTCTTGTTACGGCCATGCCCCTTCCCAGACGCTGCCTCCCAGTTCCCAGGTCTCCAGCTGATGACAAAAGCCGCTTTTCTCCTCCCCCCACCCCGTCCCCCTTCCTCACCGTGTGGTACATCAGGGCCTCGGTCTCTCCGGGCTCTGACAGCTCGCTCAGCTTGCGGTCCCACTGCAGGACGCTCTGCTCCCCGCTCTCCAGCACCTCCATGGCGGTGGGCGCCGCTCGGGGCCGAGGATGCTGAGGCAGGAGGGGACCGCACAGAGCCGCCGCGGGCCGGTGAGACACCTTTCTCCGCGTGTGCTTGCGTGTGCGCGCGTGGAACTTATGCACTGGCCCAGGAACCCAAAAGAGCTTTGCCGAGGGCTCCGCGACCCGTGTCCTCGGAGATCTGTGAATCCCGGGAGAGGACAAGCCTGCTGGGCTCGAGCGCGAGGTGCAGGGTTTAAATCGGACTGTGCATCCACAAGCCAGGCAAGAAAGCAGCCCTCATCCCAAGTAAGTGCTTGCTCGACAAGCCCACTCCCACTACTGCTCCAGACAAACTTCGCGACTCCCCAGGGCTCCTGAGCTCCGCTCCGGGACCCAGAGACGACCCCACCTCCTTCCAGGCCGGTGACCAATCGGACGCCCGTCTTGCCATCTATACCGTATCAAAAGTCCCTCTCCTATCCATGTCCCTCCCCCCGAGGCAGGGTCGCGGGAAGTCTCCGCCTAGACCCCGGAATGTGGGCGGGGAGCGTCTTTAACGTCACTGGGGAACTCCTCCTGCGGGAGCGTCGCGACGGACGAATAGGGTGCTTGAGTCTGGAGATGATAGACTGGTACATAGATCAATGAGAGAGGGGGACCTGGAGGAGACAACCAACCAAATAGCGACAAGAATACATTTTATAAGAGGGCGTGGTCGCCTAGTGTCCTCTCTGAGTCTCCAGTTCTACAAAGATTGTTACCGGCGTAATTTCCTCAGAGAAACTCCTGAGTCTAAGAAGGCACTACATATACGAAAATGCTCACATGCGTATGAAGATGGATTATCACAGTTTTACCGTCTTTATTAAACAGACATTAATCAAGGACACACTTTTCCTAGTCCTAAATCAGTAGGCTAAAATTCTTTAATTCATAGGGTTTTGTTGTTGTTGTTGAGACAGGGTCGCATGTAGCTCAGGCTGTCCTCTGTGGGGCTGAGGCTGGCCTTGAACTCACTATCTTCCTCCCTCCCCTCCAGAGCTGGGAGGAATTACAGAGTTATGCCACTAGACCTTTTATTCCCAATGGAAGTGTCAGGCGAAGAGGAGAGGGGAGAAAGGGAAAGAGGGAGGGAGGGAGGGAGGGAGGGAGGGAGGGAGGGAGGGAGGGAGGGAAAAGACAGAGACAGTGACATTTGGGGTGGGTACTGTTTCGTTTTAGATACTGGTCAGGGAGGTGAAATTGGAGTGATGTGTGAATGGCTGAAAGATGCAGTGAGTGGTGAGAAAGAGTACTAGACTCTGACCTCATTAGAGAAGAAACAGACTCTTTTATAGAATTTTCCCAAAACGTAATTTTTCTTCTTCTCTGGTGATGTTTCCTTTTATGTTGTAGTCTTCCCTGAGAGACCAATATATCCAAGGAACAGAAAAAATGTGTTCAGTTTGCTAACTGTCATGAAGAAGGCTTTCCCCAAGGTAGACCTTCTCATGGCTACAACTTGTGAGAGAACCTGAATTACAGATTCAGCTGAGCTGTACTGCTTCCTGACCCATTGGTTCTGTGAACTGAGAAACAGGAGTCTTTAAGCCACCAAGTCTTTCCTTTGTAATGCAGGTAGCAGGATCATCCACACCCTGAGGCTTCAGTAATTTTATGGGATCTTGATGATGCCAGCATGACCCATTGATTTCTTCAGCCTCCTCTGTTTCATGCATAGAAGACTTCTTGCTAGTATATCTTCCTGTGTCCCATCCTGAATACTAAAGTCATTTGTTCCATTTCCCCATCATTCTTAAACTTGGTGGTGTAGTTGACTGATTCTGCAACTTCTTGGCATCCTGTAGAAGTCGCTGTACTTGACCCCTTCTCTGTTTAATCAATTGGTAAATGACACATGTGTGACACATGCCTTCCTCAAGCCAAATTCAGACATGTGATGAGTCAGCAAGATTCTTTTCTGATTTCCCCTGATGTTATTCGTATTCCTGTGGCGACCTCTTTACAAATTTGCTCTCAAGCTTTCCTTCCTTCCAACTCAGTCATTGTTCCTAGAGTGACACTTGGCAGATTCTCACATCATGAAAACAAAATTTACATACTATGTTGACCTGCCTCCAGTCATTGGCAACCTGTGTATTGGATTCAACATCAAATATTAATCCATTGAATTTCCTTTTTTTCATATCCAAGGTTTTGAGTTTCTCCAAAAGGGTTGGTTAAATATCTGGAAAATTCCAAACAGCACTTTGTGAATGTTTATCCTATTGAAGAAAACTCCCCTACTGAAGAAAATAGGGTCTGTCAGTCACCTGTTTCTGAACTCATACTTACAGAGGAAAAAAGATCATGTTCAGTCTGAGCATAAAGCTGTGGAACTCATCATAGGGAGGATACATCCCAGCATGGTGTTTCTGCAGCATCCCCTGGGTTATAACTTGACTTCTGGTCTGAAGACTCAGCCAATGAGTCTGAAGTTAGTAATCATTAGAAAGATACATGTTCTTCTTCCACGGCTGTAATCATTTTTAGAACAATGTGTATTTACTCATTGTGCATGTATGTGAGATGAGAGGGTTCAAACGTGCTATAAGAAGCATGTAGAGGTCAGAGGACAATGTGCATCCTGGGGATCCAACTCAAGTTATCGGGCTTGGTGGCCAGTGCTCTTACTCACTCGGCTTTCTCCTTTCTCCTTATTCCGCTGTAATAATTTTTACTTAACATGGTCTAGATAGTCATGAACTCAGACAGTTACTGAGAGGAAAGAAAACAAACCCAAGTCAATATCAAAATGCTGTGCAAAGATTAAGAACTGCACAGCCCAATCTGGATTTTTGGTAATGTCTCATTCCCTCTGGGCATTTTTCTCTCCTACTTGAGCAAATTCCATCTCCCTTTTCAACATTGTTTTCATGAACTCTGACCAAGGACTTGCTTTGCACCTCAACACACCTACTTCCTGTCATCTTTTGAGACCCTCCTTTCTGTGTGAACAGCATCCTTTGGAAGGAGAGTAAATTCTGACTAGTTTTACCTTGTCCTCATTTTCATTCTTTCTGGTTTAACACACTTGTTTTGTTTGGTCTCACTGACAGAGTCTTGCTAAGTTGCCCATGCTGGTCTAGGACCCTTGGGCCCAGATGATCCTCCTGAACACATGCCACCACACCCAGCACCCGGCAGCTGGCAGGAGTTTCCTAGCCTTGAGGAATTTCTGTAATTATGATAACATAATCAGAAATGATCCCCTCCTCCATGATTTAGTTGTTACTCTTCTGTGTACACAGAGCGCAGCAGACACATGGTGTCTGGTAGAAATTGCAGCCTCTCCTTAGAAACCTGAGATACTGATGTAACCTACACAAGAATGGAAGGAGAACATGGTCACTGAGAACTCAGCTCTCAGACAGAGTTGGACATGAGCCTCAGTTTTAAGGTTGTGGCAGTTTTACTAAAGAACCAAAAACTGTACTTGGCAGTAAAATGATTTTAAAAAGAAAGGGATGTGCTTAACTTGGAACTCCTGTGGTGATGTTAATAGGGGCCAGGTGGGTGGGGCTAAAAACGAATGATATTAAAAGGTTAGTTGGAGTCTCTCCGTCCAGTTATTTCTAAGAACTGGAGGATCAGGTCAGCTTCTGCTGACCCCTAGAGTACCCTGTGAGTGGAAAAGAGCCGAAGGCATGCGTGCCTAGGCCTCAGGGGAGATGGTGGGTAGAAAATAGAAGAGAGGTCTTGGGTGCAGCCATTCTGCCTGCAGCAGAGAAGAAGGTCCCTGTCCCTCTGTTTCTGAACATTGGACTATGAGAGTCCCAAGCACAAGATGCCCGTTGAAAATCCAGTGGAGATCTGACCTCTGTGGGTCTTGACAGGATCACATGGGAAGTCACCAGGACAACAGAGATGGACTGGGAGGAGAGAACTGCAGGCACATGCATTGCCCCTTCTATGCGGTCTTGACTTCTAACCTTCTGATGCCACCCTGGACCTCACAGTAGGGAATGTTCCTCATAGGAACTCATCTTTGAGATAAAGCCCACTGTGGCACCTTCAAGACTCTGAGTAAATTGGCTAATTGGTTTTATAATTTTCAGTTTTGTTATTTTGGAGGTAGACTTTCATGTAGCCCAGGCTGGCCTCAAACTCACTCTGTAGTCAGTGCTGTCCCTAAACTCCTGGTCCTTCTGTGGCCACTTCCCAAATGTTGTGGTTATGGGCACATAGAATAATGCCCAGCCTAAAAGTAAATTTCGGAGATAATGAGATCCATTATAATCCCAGCATACAGGAGGCTGAAACCAGCATGGACTACAGAGCAAATTCCAGGTTAGCCTGGGCTATGTGGTAAGATTCTGTCTCAAAAACACAAAATGAAACAACCTTATCAAATTCCTGCCTTACTACATATATTCTAAATCTTCGGGTGGACTGAGACTATAAATGTCAAATAAAGCAAAACCATACAAGCAAAGTAAATACAAGATACTCATAATATCATGTGGCCATGGTATGGACATAACAGAGAATGTGAGAAACATCTAGCATAAGATAAATTTACATGTATGTGTCTATTGAATATTAAATGGAAGCAGAAGCAGAATTGCCCTGAGGACTGTAATAGTTACTTCTCTATTGCTGTGATGGAACACCATAACCAAGGCAATTTAGAAGAAAGGCTTTATTTGGCTTGCAGTGCCAAAGGGAGGGTGTGTGTATGGAGAGAAAGACAGCAACACACAGAGAGAGGCACAAAGTGTGTGCCTCTCATGGTAAACAGTGTGGCAGCTAGTATGGTGGTGGAAGCAGCTGGGAGCTCATACCCCGAAGCACAGGCAGGAAGCAGCGAGAGCAAACTGAGAATGATTAAGAGCTTTAAAACATCAAGGCCACCTCCAGTGACATGCCTCCCCAGCAAGATCATATCCCTAAACCTACCCAAACAGTGTCACCAGTTGGGGGCCAAGTATTCAAATGCCAGAGACTATAGTGGGCATCTCATTCAAACTACTGTAAGAGGAGGAGTGAGAAAAGGGAGGGAAGATGGCGTGAGGGCAAGACATGCTCAATATATATTATAAAGCTGTAAGAAAAACAATTAATTTCGAAAGGAGGACTGGAGGGCTATTTTGGTGCCTAGAGTCCTGGCTGAACAAACATGAGGACTGGATTGCGAATCCCCAGCACCCACAGAAAAGGCAGCCCTGGCAGCCCCCTTGTAATCCCAGGGCTGAGGAGGCAGAGATGGGACTCCCAAGTCAAGCTGGCTAGCTCGACTAAGCAAATGAGCTACAGAAAATGATCAAGGTAGCTACTGAGTGTCAACCTCCGATCTCTGCACACGCACAGTGCAAGCCCCCGCACCATACGTGAGCACGTTTATACAGACA